TCTCTCTCTCTCTCCAAGCAAGCCGGTTGAAGCAGCCCGCTTCTCAAAACTTTCTCCGCCGGAGCGTTAAACATTACTATCATGCGCTTTTAGAATGACACGATTTTAGCCCCACTTTTTGCCAGAACTGAACTACACAATACACATTACACGTACAGATGCCATGCGCACTGTACCAATACCAAAATGTTGAGACAGTCTTGCCAGTATTTTTTTCATTTTGACGTTGAACAAAAAAGGTATAACAATACAAGAGTATGAATCTTTGAATTCCATATTCTCAAAACTATGCATCATGGAGTTAGAACTCTGTCGTTCTAAGGGCGTGATCAATCAATCAAATTTCCACTACAGGCTGTAGGCAACCACGAGTTTGACGACGGGGTGTCTGCCCTCTACACCTTTGCTAAAGATTTGAACGCATCCCTTCTGTCCAGCAACGCTGACCTCACCAACACGCCAGTTCTGCAAGGCCTGATAGTCAATTCCACGATTGTGGTGCGAGATGGAGAGAGGATTGGGGTGGTCGGATATACCACCACTGAAACCACCTACATATCCAACCCAGGTAAGATGTATACCAAATGCCTTTGTGTACAGACTTATTATCAAACAAACAAGCATACAAGCAAACAAACAAACAGGCAAAACGAAACGTTATACCTTTTTTTTAAATGGTAAGGAATACTGGTTGGGATCTTCAAATTTTCTTTAAAAAGAAGTTAGTTCGATTTCACCCTGACGTCGAGAAGATATACATGGAGGCTGAAAAGTAAATGAAAAAAAAAGAAAGAAAACGCGTACAATACTTATTGCATTTATTATACTAACAAATGAAAAGTTCATATTCCTGAAATAACAAGTACAACCTTCGTTCCCCAGATACCCAAACTACTTGTTGGTATTCACACATTCCTCAAATAGTCTTGATGAATTAAGAGTTATGATACAGTGTAGGTCTACCTACTTTTGCACCCCTGCCCCTGTTTTATGGGCATCTTTTTGCCAAGATGATGTGCACCACTTAGTATGGGCCTACCCAGAGCAGCTTGCTTTCTAAACACTTTAAATTGTGCCGATGGGAGAGACAAAAAAAGAAAGGAAAATAAAAATCATTTGACATCAGTGACCAAACCTGAGACGCCGTTGCATTTGTTTCTCTGGGCCGAGGAAACTAAATACCTCTTGCAGACAAAACATGAACCATGTGTACTTGGAATCCCACCTTTTCTTTCTAAATACTTTTTCCACCAGTATTTCTTCTGATCACTGGTCTCATTTCCTTCCTGCAAAGTACAGGGTGATTTTGAACAATTCACAACATCGTCACGTGGTATTTCAAAACCGAGGGGAAAAAAAAAGAAGCTCGAACACATGTGTTGTATGCAAGTTTTTTTTCTCCATGTTTTACTAGTACCCATTGGGGCCACCACCAGCAGTACGGAAATCGTCAAGCTGGAAGGAGAATTTCTCCCAAATGCGCCTCAGAATGTCTCAGGCCACCTTGTTGATGGTAGCTGTTATTCGATCTTTCATGCCATCGATAGGTGCTGGAAGTGGTGGAACATAAACTCTGTTTTTAACTTTAAATAACCCCACAAAAAATCACACACAGTGAGGTCCGGAGATCTGTCAGGCCAACTGCAGAGAGTGAGGTCTTCAGCACCTCTCCTACCAATCCACCGCTGGGGCATGTTTTCATTCAGATAAGCTCGAACCGAAAGATGCCAATGGGGCGGTGCTCCATCTTGTTGTAAATTGAAGTCCTTCGAATCTGCATGCAGTAAAGTGAACAGCCACTTCTTGTGGGGGTATGTTATAGATAACGTTTACGGTCCACCACTTCCAGCATACACCAATGACATGAAAGATCGAATAACAGCAACAATCAACACGGTGGACCTACACATCCTGAGGCGCGTTTGGGAGGAATGCTCATATCGGTTTGATGTTGTCCGTGCTGCCGGTGGTGGCCACTTTGAGCACTCGTAAAACATGGAATAATAACTTAAAGGTATGTACAACGTAGTGTCCAAGCTAGATTTTTCTATTGTTTTTCTTTTTTGAAATATCGTGTTATGATTTTGAAGCATTGTTTTTTTTAAATCACCATATATTAACAAGTGTTACGTTAACAACTCTGCCATTCTCAAACTCATTTTATAATATTATAATGCTTTGCATACTTTCCTCGAGTCAGTACCCACTCTCCCCTCTCTCCCTTACACACACACACACACACACACACACACACACACACACACACACACACACACACACACACACACACACTCACAAACACACAATCAAACACAGTCATACTTACACCCCTACACAGATGCGCGAGCAAAATCTTTAGGCATGCCATTAGCTCATTTGGTATCATACTGGGCCATATTGTGGATGACATATGTTCGAATTCCATCTGGACTCGTCCTTGATCTTGTGGAACTTCAAGGCATTACACCTACTTGGCTGGACCCTATAGGAGAAGGATGTTATATTCGGATGTCTCGCCCCTTGAATACTATTGCAGTGTTAAAAGACGCTCGAAACTCATCCAATTATTACTAATTAGTAATTTTTCGTTTTTAGCTTTTTTGTTAAATAGATTTTTAGCAGATAAAATGCACACATAATAAATTCAAATGTCACATAGAGAGACCATCTAAAAATACCTTTAAAATCCAAATACCCAAATGGCGTCATAATAAGTCCAAATATAACCAGCTTCAATTATGTTGCGTGTTCGGGGGTTCGAGCTGCGGGCCCGACGTTGTGTCCTTCGGAAAGGCACTTTACACGAATTTTCCTCACTTCACCCAGGTGAGAATGGGTACCCAGCCTTCGACAGCAAAAGATCTTGTCAGTACATTAGTGTTTTAGTGCCTATAAATGGCTGCTTGCACCATATGCTTCCAAGGAAGTTGAGGTTGTTTCAGAATCCTCTCAGATCTCCTGGGGTAATAGTATAGATTGTGAAGCGCATAGAGCTTGCTGTTGAGCGGGGATTTGCGCTATACAAATGCTATCCATTATTATTATTACTATTATTATCATTAAATATTGAAATCTCAAATACAAGCACATTCTAAGTTCAAATGCCACACAGGAATCCCAAGTATATTAGTTGAACTGCAGAAATTACATTTTTTTAAAATTCACAGAGACGGTGACCTTTGACCCAGAGATCGCGTCTGTTCAGGCAGAAATCGACAGGCTCACGGCCCAGGGAGTCAACAAGATTATCGCCCTTGGTCACGCCGGTTTCCTCGTGGACAAAGAGATGGGCAGGACCCTCAGAGGCGTTGACATCATCATTGGTGGTCACTCCAACACCTTTCTCTATAACGGTCAGTTGGACTAGGCCTTTGGTTTGTGTGATGCCTTTTTCGATTTTAACCATCTGAAGCTAAATCAGTCTTAGTGATTTTGTTGAATTTATGCAGCGTGGAAACCCCTCATTCTCTCTCTCTCTCTCTCTCTCTCTCTCTCTCTCTCTCTCTCTCTCTCTCTCTCTCTCTCTCTCTCTCTCGCTCTCTCTCTCTCTTCTTTTAATGCGCGTCCGGAGACTCCAGTGGCGGAGTGAGTAGCGAGTTCAGACTCAAAAATGATATCAAGCAAGTGTTCGTGAATGGTGGTCACTGGGCAGATGGGTCCTTAAGTAAGACACGTTAATCCAAGCTAAAAAAACAACCTTACAAAGTGCTTTGTACAGTTTTTTGTTTTTAGTAAAGGTTTTACGGCGCTCGCAACTGTATTTGGTCACATGAGCGCCAGAAGATTAGAGGTGTTACAAGAGAGTAACAAACATAAAAAGAAGAAGGGGAGATAAGTGCGATAGAGGTTTGATAGGAAAGAAGGAGCAAACCACACCAGAGCACCCACCAACCACCCACGCTTTGTACAATGGCGACTTGCAATGGCATGATCGTAACATTTTCTGCCTTGGTGTAGCATTGTGTATTTTGGCTTTCTTTTTATGTATATTATTTGTGTGTTTAATTAATTATGTATTCATATATGTATGTTAGCCATTGTAATCGAAATTCCCTCCCACGGGGATAATTCAAGTAAAGCCTTTATTGTGTTTTTTTTTAATTTAAAGGCGATCGCCCCTCCAGCGAAAAGTCGGCAGGTTCCTACCCTTACGTAGTGGCCAACGCTAACACACAAAATGGTGTTCTAGTTGTTCAAGACTATGCCTATGGAAAATATCTGGGGGAACTGAGGGTAACTTTCGATGACAGTGGCAATGTGATCAGATGGTCCGGGAATCCGATTCTGCTGGACAGCTCTGTGGAACAAGGTGAACCAACTTTAAGCTAATGTTCAATACATATTTGTTCATTTCTTCTTTTTTTTTTACATACGTCTCCTCCTTCCTTGCTACGTATCGTCATTGTGCTTTTTCATATCTTACCCACCAGCGTAATATTGTGTACAACAATATATAATATAATATTGTGTACATAAAAGCGAATCATCTCATCATCTAGAGAGAAACAGGAGGATGAGGAAGAGGAGGAGGAAGAAGAGGAAGAGGTGGGACATATGGATGATGTGGACAGAACAGGAGGGTAAAGAGGTGAAAAAAGGAAAATGACAAGGAAAGAAGAAGAAGAAGAAGAAGAAAAAGAAGAAGAAGAAGAAGAA